TATATGTACCAGACACAGTCACACATTGGTGTAATGTGAAGGACATAATTACATGATAACACTAAAGTATGCAAAGCAACAGCTACACTACTTCTCTCGATGTAACACCGGGCAGCCTCTCAGCAACACGATCTTCCTTGCTTACACTAGAAGAACTACTACACGAATAGAACCGCATCACTTGTCTTATTTGGGCAGAATCTCAGTGTAGTAGTAATGTTTTAGCCCAACGGGCATAATAACGATATGAAACTCTTAGAATTACATACTGACTGCTCCCTCTTAGTCGACTGCGTGATACTTTATACTGCTAAAACAAGTGGGAGATTATAGTTCTACCTTCAACATTTCTTATTTTATTTTATTATTTTACCCTCATTCCTAACAATATACATTTGACAGTTCAGGAGATCTTCTATTCGATTTAAAAATCGATCTTTTTCGGAAAGAATCGACGTCCCTATGGTTGATGCTTCAGAATATTCGACTTTTGCAGCCAATGGCAAAGCGACTGTAGCCTGCAAAATAATATTGATATTTTATGAATCAACTAATTTTTTGTGACTTTTGATGTATTTTTTTTAATATTTTGTAAAATCTACTAATTATTTTTGAATATTTTCAACGCCTTAAAAGCATGTACAGAAAATACAAAAACCTTAATTAACATAGACTTTTTTTATCAACCGTTGATAAAAAACCCGTATTTTTATATTTTTTCTTGACTACTGATTTGTAACAAAATTTTATGTTTATTAAACTTTCCATGTTTATAAATAACTACTGAATATTTGGTAGGCAGAAAAAATACGGGATCAAAATAATTCAGTCGGCATATACTGGACACTACCTATGTAAATTGTACGCGTAAATTTTGGGGTTTTTCCTATACCAAAGTCCTACGACGACGAGCAAGAAACGGGTTTGTTTGAGAAGCGCGCGAAACGGCGCTTATTTTATAGTAATTTTATTTTATTTATTATATTCTTTTAATGTGGATATATTTAAAAATAATTTCTGTTACATATTCTTTTTCGAATAGTTTCATATGAAAAATACATGTGAAATTTCTCTTAAAATTAATTGCAAGTTTAATTAATCGTTAATTGCTCTTATTTATATTTTTTTAATATTTTTTCCAGACCTATTTAGCAATAAAGTGGAAATTTATAACATTTTTTATATGATATGGTGACAAACGAGCACACAGTCCACCTGATGGTAAATGGTTGATGTGGCCCATAGACATCTACATCTATCTATCCTCAATATAGAATCAAAATGCAGATGCGTTGTCACCCTTGAGGGCTAAGATGGAATTCCTCTTTTCCAGTAAAGTGGGTCTCCGGTTCTTTACACTCACCATACTAAACATAGCAGTGTTAAACTGCTATTTTACGCTGGTATTCTGTGAGAGCGTGGTCCTTCCCCGGTCGAGCCGACCCATTCGTGCTACAACTATACTACTAATATAACTGCAACATAGCTCTACCACATAATAATAATAATAATAATAATAATAATAATAACAATAAATGGATGATATAAAGCTTTTTGCCAAATCAGAAAAAGAAATGAATACCCTCATAAAAATTACAGCTGAGTACAGTCAAGATATAAACATGACCTTCTGTTTAGATAAATGCAAAACACTTAAACTTCATAAAGGTAGAGTCGACAGTAATACAGAAAGTCAATACGATATGTTTACATTGATGGACGAAAATGATACATATAAATATCTAGGTTTACGTGAAGGAAGATGTATAGACCATACTGCTATTAAAAAGGATCTCAGTAATGAATATTTCCGCAGGTTGAATCTAATTTGTAAAAAGCAACTTAATTCTAGAAATTTATTCAAAGCTATTAACACTTTTGCCATCCCAATACTTACCTATTCTTTCGGAGTTATTAAATGGTCATTCACAGATATACGAAATCTGGAAATCAAAACTAGGACTACAATGACTAAACACAAATATTTGCATCCTAAATCGGCAATTGAACGACTTACGATAAAGAGAGCCATAGGGGGTAGGAGTCCGATCGATCTTAAAAGGCTATGGGAAGGGCAAATCAAAAACTTGCAATCTTTCTATTATGAAAAATCAGCTAACAGCCTGTTACATAAAGCAGTTATTGAATCCGATATCAATTATACCCCTCTTAATTTAAGTAAACAAGACAATAGATCTACTACAGTAATTGACCATGAAAAAGAAAAGCAATCAAAGTGGCGTAGTAAAGAATTACATGGTAGACATGCACACGATTTAGAACAACCCCACGTCGACTTACTGGCTTCAAATAAATGGTTAAAACTAAGTTCTCTTTTTCCTGAAACTGAAGGTTTTCTTATTGCTATTCAGGATCAAGTAATCAATACAAGAAACTATAAAAAATATATATTAAAAGACCCAAATATGCAGAACGATAGCTGTAGAAAATGTCACCGCCTACCCGAAACTATACAACATATCACCAGTGCTTGTCCTAGCCTAGCACAAACTGATTACACCCACCGGCATAACCAGGTTGCTAATTACGTTCATCAAAAGCTTGCAAATAAATACAATTTAATCCCTAACCAACTACTATTGCCATATTATCAATATATCCCTAAACCTGTTCTGGAGAGCGACAGTCACAGAATGTACTTTGATAGAGCTATTCTTACCGATAAAACGATTCATTACAATAGACCGGATATAACTTTAATTGACAAATTAAATAAAATAGTATACCTAATTGATATAGCAATCCCAAATACCCATAATCTACAAAAAACCATTACTGAAAAAATTCTTAAATACACAGAACTAAAAGAAGAAGTAACTAGAATCTGGAAAATGAACAATGTATACATTGTGCCGCTGGTGCTCTCCAGTACTGGTGTGATCCCGAAATGTTTGCCCCACTCCCTTAAACTATTAGATCTTCCTGAAAATAGTTATATTACCATGCAAAAAGCAGCCATCCTCAACACTTGTCGTATAGTCCGAAAATTTTTGCAAGAAGACGCCTCAAATTTTGATTCCCAAAGGGACGCGCACTTGGCTTAGGCCCGTGAGCATTTCTTAAAAACCAAGATCTTAGAAAATCTTGAGAAAAAAAGGAGTAGAAAAGATAATAATAATAATATAGCCTCTTTATTTCCATAATGAATGACAAAAAATATATATCTTAAGATTACGAATACATAATTATGCATGCATAAAACAAAATATTACATTTCATAATTATCATGATTAATATTTTACAATCGCATAATTATATAATAATTTCTTAATTTTATATAAATTTCAAAATAATAAATAAATTAAATTTTCAGTTCATTTTATAAAATTTATAATATAATTCATTATGGACCCCTCAACGGGTGAAGGCCTCCTCCATTTTTCTCCACATCTGTCTGTCCTTTGCCTTTGTGATCCGATTTTCACCGGCTTTTCTTATTATTTCATCAACCCATTTTTCTCTCGATCTACCTCTTCTTCTTTTGTTTATTGGTCCTTGCCAGTTAGTTACTCTCTGTGTCCATTTTTGTTTGTCCATACGTGCAATATGACCCGCCCATTTCCATTTTTGTTTTTGAGAATGTTCCTATTAATTTTGTTGTGTTTCTTATGTCTGTGTTTCTTTTTCTGTGTTTTCTTTGTATATTTAGTATACTCCTTTCCATTGCTCTCTGACATACTTGTATTTTTTATCTATGTTTGGCAGCCATACGTAAGGCAGGGCAGTAAACATGTGTCCATTATTTTTTTCTTGAATTTTATAAGGAGTTTTGATTTTAGGGTTTCTTTATTGTTCCAGAATTTGTTCCAGGTTATGTTAACTCGTCTTTTAATCTCATCTTCGTGTCTTATCCCAGAGAAAGATACTTGTTGTCCCAGGTAAACATAGCTTTGAACGTATTCTAATATATTGTTATTGACCCTTATTGGTATAATATGGTGGTTTGTCATGACTTTAGTTTTGGTAGTATTTAGTTCTAAGCCGATCGTTTTGCTTACATCATTTAGTTCATTAATCATTTTCTGTAATTGAGATGCTGTTTCGGAGAAGAGTATGATGTCATCCGCAAATCGAAGATTACTGAGGAATTTCCCATTTATGTTTATTCCTTTCTTTTCCCAGTTCAGAGTTTTCATTATATTTTGTAGCACAGTTATAAAAATTCTAGGTGACAGGGGGTCACCTTGTCTGACGCCTCTACAAATTTTTATTTCAGGGCCATGTCTCTCTAACTTTACACGACTTTTACTTTTGTAGTAGATGTCTTATAAGAGCTATAGTCTCCGATGGTACTTCTCACTCATGTAGAGCTTTCCACATGCTCGTATGTGATATAGAGTCGAAGGCTTTGGCGTAGTCGATAAATGCCAGGTATTATGGTCTATTGTGCTCTATATATTTCTCTATAATCAAATTTAAAGTGTGGATGTGATCTGTTATTGAGAAGTTTTTCCTAAAACCTGCTTGTTCCGGTGGTTGAAATTTCTCTATGAACGTTGCTAGACGATCCTCAAGACATGAAACAAATAGTTCGTACATATTTGGTTGTAAGCTTATTGGTCGGTAGTTTCCAACATCGGCAGGGTCTCCTTTCTTGTAGAATAAAATTAAATCAGATTGCCCCCATTCTTTCGGTATTGCTCTATCATTTAGAATCTTGTTAAATAATGTTGTTATGTATGGTGCTAGTATCATTTTCCCCAATTTTAATGCTTCATTTGGGATTCCATCTGGCCCGTTGCTTTTGTCGGATTTTAAAACTTCAATTTTTTTTTATTATTTCAAATGTAGAAAATCTAGCTAGAGTTGTAGTAGAGTCCTGGTAGGTCGTTTCAATTTCCGGAGTAGTATCTTTTAGTGAGTATAAATTCAAATAGAAAGTTGTTGCCGTTTCTATTATATCAGATCTTGACAATATTTTCTTATCATTAGTGTCATCTTTTATATAGGGTATCCATCGTTTGGTGGTATTAATGATTTTAAGACCTTTTTAAACTGCCTGTTGATTCGAGGTGAGTTTTGATATCTTTTATTCTGCGTTCTGTGCGTTCTCGTTTCATTAATTTGTAGATGTTCTTGTAGAGGTATGTACGTTCGTCTTTTTCTTCTTTCGTTAGGGATTTCTTCTGAATCAATTCACTTCTTCTAGCAATAAGAGATTTCATGTGAACAGGGACGGTCTCCCGTTTTCTTGTTGGTTTCTGTCGAATTAAATTTAAACTAGTGATTATTGGTTTTTTAATTTTGGCGTATGAGGACTCTATATTTTCATTTTCTTCCCATTCAATTTTGTTTATGTTTGTATTTAAGGATTGTATAAATTGTTCTCTTTCTTCCAAAGTACTCAATTTGGTTTTATAATTTTTGAAATTTGCTCTACTTTTCTTTATCGGTGCAATCTGTAGTGTACTTCTTAAAAGTCGATGATCACTGGGAAACGTTAGATTTGATATAATTTCTATGTTTGAGATGTTTTCTTTTCTATTCGTTAGTATATAATCGATTTGACTCCTTCTTTTCTTCGGCGAGAGCCATGTCCACATAGTTTTATTGTTCTTTTTAAATAAACTATTTGTAATGTATAGTTTATTTTCCTAACAAAAGTGGAGTAAAATTTCACCTCTTTTGTCTCTATTTCCGTTATAGTATTTGCCCAGTATTCTTTCTTCGCCTAGTACTCGCTGTCCAACACGGGCATTAAAATCGCCTAATATTATTTTCTGGTTATTATATTGACAGTGAAACCGTTTTCAGTGCCTGGAAGACTGCAATGAAGTGGACGATATGAATGACAAGCTCGTGGAAACTGTCCATGCGGTTGGAGCTAAGTTCTGCAAGACCCGCCGCAGAAGAACACAAAAACTCTCCGATCACACTCTTAATCTCATGGCTGTTAGACGGGAGATGAAGCTACATTCTTCAACAGACTTGACAGCATACAGGCATCTGAACAGACAGATCTCCAAATGCATGCGGCGGGACTTACGCGACTTCAATACAGCTCGTATTGAAGAAGCGATCGAGCGGAACCAAGGCTCCAAAGTCTTTGCCAGAGATCTGTCTGCCAGAAAGAGCCAACTGTCAAAGCTGAAGACAGAATGTGGCAGCATCGTTTCCGGGACACCTGAGATTTTGAGTGAGATTGAGAGGTTCTATGGGCAGCTGTACACATCATCGTTGGAGCCACACGCAAGTGTGAGTAACGATCCAAGAGCGAGTCTCATCCGACACTATTCCGAAGATATCCCGGATGTCAGTCTGAGCGAGATTAGGATGGCTCTCCAGCACCTTAAAAACGGTAAGGCCCCAGGCGAGGATGGAATTACAGCGGAGCTTCTGAAAGCGGGTGGAAGACCGGTACTTGAAGTCCTTCAGAAGCTCTTTAATTCCGTCCTCCATGGTGGCATTACACCGGAGGCGTGGAGCAGAAGTGCGGTGGTCTTGTTCTTCAAGAAAGGTGACAACGCTCTCTTGAAGAACTACAGACCGATTTCCCTTCTGAGCCGCGTCTACGTGCTGTTTTCGAGAGTCATTACGAATCGTCTCGCGCGCAGACTTGACGACTTCCAGCCTCCCGAACAAGCCGGTTTCCGAAAGGGCTTTAGCACCATAGACCACATACATACCCTTCGGCAAGTTGTACAGAAGTCCGAAGAGTACAATTTGCCACTATGTCTGGCGTATGTGGACTATGAGAAAGCCTTTGATTCCGTCGAAATTTGGGCGGTGCTGCAGTCCCTTCAGCGGTGCCAAGTTGACTGTCGGTATATCGAAGTGTTGAAGTGCTTGTACAGTAGGGCTACGATGGCTATCCGAGTACAGAACCAGAGTACGAAACCTATCCAATTGCAGAGAGGTGTAAGACAGGGTGACGTCATATCCCCGAAACTCTTCGCCGCTGCATTGGAAGACGTTTTCAAGCTTATGGACTGGAAAGGATACGGTATCAACATCAATGGCGAGTACATCACTCACCTTCGATTTGCCGACGATATAGTCCTTATGGCAGAATCGCTGGAGGACCTAAGCACTATGCTCAATGACCTCAATAGTGTTTCCCAACGGATAGGTCTTAAGATGAACATGGACAAAACTAAGATCATGTTTAATGTCCATGTCACACCTATGCCGGTAGTTGTTGGGAACACTAAGCTCGAAGTTGTTGACGAGTATGTTTACCTGGGACAAATAGTCCGACTGGGTAAGTCCAACTTCGACCGAGAGGTCAATCGACGGATTCAACTCGGCTGGGCAGCGTTAGGGAAGCTACGACACATCTTCTCGTCAGACATACCTCAAAACCTTAAAACGAAATTGTACAACCAGTGCGTGTTGCCAGTGATGACTTACGGAACTGAGACGTGGTCCTTCACTGCTGGCCGTATGAGGAAGCTCAAGGTCGCTCAACGAGCTATGGAGAGGGCTATGCTCGGAGTTTCTCTGCGTGATAAACTTAGGAATGAGGATATCCGCAGTAGAACCAGAGTGACCGACATAGCCCAACGGATTAGTAAGCTGAAGTGGCAGTGGGCCGGCCATATAGCTCGAAGAACCGACAACCGATGGGGAAGAAAGGTTCTCGAGTGGCAGCCTCGTACCGGTAGGCGAAGTGTAGGGCGTCCCCCCACGAGATGGAGTGACGACCTGGTAAGACATGCAGGAAGTCGATGGATGCAGGTGGCTCAGGACCGTGTTTTGTGGCATTCTTTGGGGGAGGCCTATGTTCAGCAGTGGACTTGTGAAGGGCTGTAATGATGATGATGATATTGACAGTGTGCAGTCTGCAGTTGGTTGTAGAAGTTATTGATTTCTTGGTTGTTTGCATCAACAGTTGGCGCGTGTACTTGTACAATGGTGAGTTTTGTGTTGTCGAAATTGAGATTTAAAATGCAGATGCGTTCGGATATTCCAATGGAGCTCTCAATGTTTAGCTTATATTCCTTTTTTATAAGGAATCCGACTCCATATTGACCTTTTGTTTCCCCAAAATAACAGAAAATATGTTCATTGTTTTCTAAAATATTATATCCCGTTCTTCTTAATTTAGCAAGGCCAATAATATCGTATTTAATTTTTGAAATTGCTCTCTTAAAATCGAGTAATCTTTCATCTAATAGTAGAGATTTTGCATTATAGATACAGATGTAGAGATTTCGTAGTGAAAATGGAGGGTTGTAGTCTTTATCCCCTGCAGTGACAAGCCGTATTGGGAGATGTAGAGGGGCTTCTTTTACTCGTTTTTTGGTGGTGAGGGTATCTCAGTCGAGCTTAACACCGATCCTTTTTTCAGTTGTGTGTTGCACATGTAGGAGGTAATATTATTTAACTTATTTTTCTTCGGTATCTGTTTGACATTGTTTTCACTGATTACGTTGGTTCCGAGGTCAGGGGATTTTGACAGATTCCGCTTTTGTTTTCGTGTGTCTGGCAATGTTACTATTTTGTCGTATTGTAGTATTACATTTTTTCCGAGATTACGTTCTTTTTCTACTTCTGCTTGTAGTTCCTTACGTTTCAACAGAACTTTTTGTGGAAAGTCTTCTTTAATGTTAAGGAGTGAGCCCTTCAATGTTCCTTTCTTCTTTAAAATTTCAATTTTCCTTCCCATTGTTGTAAATGTTACTAATAAAGGTCTTATCTTGTTCTCTTTTTTGCCAAGGCACAAACTCTATTTCAGACTACTCGATGGAAATCTTCATGTGACTTTTTATGCAACTTAATAATATACTTTGCAATTCTTCGTATCCATGCTCGGTCTCTTCTACTCCATAGAATATTAGATTTTTCTTTGTAGCCTGTCTTTCTAAATAATCTATTGTTTTTTGTTGTTTATTTATTTTTATTTCTAGGTTGTTTGTTTTATTTTCCATAATTATAAATTTTTGGTTGATGTTGTATCATACATAATCGTAAAATGTTGATACGTAAAATGTACATAATTATTCAATAACAATAAGTATTGGCGGTGAAAAAATATGAACTAACATCCCCTGGGTGTGGAAAACGCGGGAGAGTGAGGAGAGTGAGAGTGAGAGTGACCAGAAGACGTTCTAACACCAACTAGATCTAAATTAAAAAAAACTGCGGTTGCCACCCCGCCTCCCAAAAGTAGAAACTACGGCTGATATAGTCCCCTTATGAGGTTAAATGTGGGGACGCCTATAGTTGACTTAAATAGATTGGATAATGAAAAAATGAACACCGTATGTTTGATCTCAACATACCTACTTAATTTCGGAAACTTGGAATTCGTCAAAATATCGTCATCTACGTAGCGGGATTATGGATGTTTCTCGTTAAGTGACTTCGTATAAAATAAATAAGAACATTTTAAATATTATTAAGTATTTGTGGCGGCGTTGTCGTCGCGCCACAAGCGAAAACACGTTGAAGTCTAAATCGCGCTAACAAAGTTCCGAAGTTAAAGCAGCATATATAGAATAGCTCCGAACTACCAATCGGAGCGTTGGCCGCTCCCCGGGCAGAACACCATGCCCGGCGGGAGATCTCCCCTTTTCCTTCCACCGGCTACATATTCATGAAGAGAAATGGATTTTTCATAAACTGCAAGCGCGTTATTAAAAACTCTTTTCATTGTTATTTCTATTATTTATAAATTTAAATTTTCGGAAAATTACTTTGTCTAGATAGGTATAACGATATACACAAAAACCTTGAGGATGCTCACGTCGCGCAGTGGCTCGCTTTTTGGCGGCCGTGTCAGTGACTTCACAGCTGACGTAGGTAATATGTCTGCACGTGTCGGTAAGTTCAGAAGCAAATAACATTTTTACAAATATAAAATTTAGTAAGATATCTGATTAGAAACTCTAAAATCCCATTTAGAGCAAGCAAAAAAAAAATTTTATATCATAATTTCTATGCCTATGTGTACACCTATACGTCCATGAAGCGACCAACGGGGTTTTTGCTATATACTGTATAAGCTGGGTAAAGTTAATATTTTATATTTAAAAAACAACGGTCTGCAAATATTAGTCTGATCTATATCTGCTATAATCCGGATTAATTTCTTTTGAAGGGTGAATAGAGAGGCTGTATTCGTGCTGTTGCCCCACAGAACGATGCCGTAACTCAGCCAAGCGTGCGCGTATACGCATAGTAGGGTGTTATTGCTGTTTCTGTGTCGGTATTTTTTTTAAGTTCGCGTAATGCATATGAAAAGCTCGAAAGTTGGCCTCACTCTATGGACATGCGCTTTCCAATTCAAGTGAGTGTTTTTTTTTTATAGAATATGGGGCAAACGAGCATGCGGCTCACCTGATGGTAAGTGACTACCGCCGCCCATAAACAACCGCAACACCAGGGGAATTGCAGATGCGTTGCCGGCCTTTTAGAAAGGTAAGCTCTTTTCTTGAAGGTTCCTAAGTCGTATCGGTTCGGAAAATTTGCTGGTGGTAATTGATTCCACAAAGAAGTTGTGCGAGGGAGAAAACTTCTTCTAAATCGCACAGTGGTGAACCGCCAATCATCCAGATGGTATGGATGGTAATGCGAGTTTTGTCGCGATGTGCGATGGTGA